ATTTCTATATTAAGAACATGACAAACTTTATTCAAAGACAACCTGTTATGTTGAGAAATAAAATTGATCAAAAGAACCAGGCACCAGTTGTAAGCATGATGGAGGATGCCACATTCCTAGGACTTGAGCAAGCTTGGTAGCCAGCACTCAGGGCTCCAGTCAGCAGGTAGCGGGGACGCTGGGCCCATCTCCAGGCAGCGGGGTTGCCTTACCATTTTGGGGTGCTACTTTCTGGCACAATAGCTATCACTCATTACTCATTTACAAGGTTTATCGCAAGTAACTTTTTTTACATTAGAGCAGGTTAAAAACTAGCCCAATATTATCACTTGTATTTCATTTGCTTTCTTGAGGGGACAAGAAGTGAATGGAATTATACCAATCTGTCAGAAATTGTAAATAACTCAGTTTCACTTTTGCTTTTGGTCTTTATTCCCAAACATCATTATCAAGTGGCAGAAAGTGGTAAGCCTCTTCATTTCAATTAGAACCAGGTAGGTTTTGGGACAAGTCTTTGAATATACTTGTGCAGAGTCATCTGTGGGATTCAGATTAGTCTAGATCACTTGAAAAGCTCATTCTTAAATGTATCTTAGTGACCCTCATAAGCTTCACTGAATCCATCCATATTCTACAATCTCCCTTGGCTATATGCTTTCCTGCCTTATCACCAGGTGTTTCCGAAATTTTGCTGGGCTGTCTTAATTCTGACACCAAACCTAGAAGTCATAAAAGGGGAGATTGAAGAATTTCACCACATAAAAATAATTTCTGCCATAATAAACACTGACAAACTAGGAGTGGAGATGGATAATTTAAAGCTAGTTCATATCAAGAATAAAGGGCTCCTGCTAACTAGTTAGGAAAAAGACCGAACAACAGGAAAGTGGTCAATAATCACAGAAAGGCAATCAGGAAAATTCAGGTTGTGCAAAACTCTAGAGGTTAACCTATTTCTCCAGAAATACAGGGTCCCGCAGAAGGCCTGCCTGAGTATGCTTGGTAGGGTAACGATGTGGGCATAATAATTTAGTTTTAAGTTGAACATTTCACCTAGAATGTCATATGGTGTATTTGCATGTGATAGTTGTTGGAGAATTACTTGCTTATGATTTTGTAAGCACCCAGGATTTTGTAATAAAAAAGGGGGTGTTATTTGTGCTGGACCCTGCAGAAGAGGAAACGTGTGGATTAAAAGAAGTAGGAAACACGCACTCCATCACTGAAGAAATCTGAGTGGCTCAAAGGCTTATGAAAAAATGCTCAACATCATGGACTGTCAAGGAAACCAAAGGAAAACCAAGGCATCCCACCATACACAGAACGGTCAAAGTGACAGGATGAGACCACCAAACGGTGAGACTACAGACCCACTGGAACTTTCATACTGTCTGTGGTGTATAAAATAGGATGACTGCTTGGGAAAGATGTATGTCAATTTCTAACAAAACTTAAAATATACCAGCCTTACAACTCAGGATATTCTGCTGAATACTTGCTCAAAAGAAATCAAAACATAGGTTCACGAGAAGCCTTGCACAAGAGGTTAGGTTCATAGCGACTTTATTTATAACAGCCAGAAACTCTAAGCAGCCCATTGTCCACCGGTTGTTCACCTGCCGCATGGAACGTTACGCAGTGGCGCACTCACACAATGGAATACTACTCCGCGTGGCAACGAACGGGAACAAGCTTGAACACGGGGATGAATCTTAAAACGTGCTGAAAAGAAATTTACACAAGCATACATACTGTATGATTCCATTTATACGGAGTCTTAGAATGGCCAAACTCATCTATGGCCATTCCGTGAAAACGGAATCCCAGCAGGGAGAAGGGATGTAAGAGGCGTAGGAAATAACCGGGTAAAGAAACCTTCTGATGTGATGGAGACATCCCATAGCTTGCTAGGGGTTTGGGTTACAAGTTGTACATCCAGACTCAACAAATGGCACAGTTAACATTTGTTCACTTCACTGTAAATTTTACAAGAAAGTCATCAACATGTATGCCCCAAAGCTTATGAGGCAAATACAGATGTTTACATTTTTGACACACATAAATACACGGATACATAGATATCAAGGAAATACGGCAAAATAGTACTTGTAGACTTGAGTTGATAGGTATAGACATGCTTAGAGTTGAACTTCTCTGTATGCTTGAAATTATACATTAAAAGGTCATGGGCAGGAGGGAAAGAAGCATATTAACCAATTGTAATGTGTGTATGGTTTAGACCTTGACTGAAACTTTTTTTTTAAAAAAAAGGACATTTCAGATAGATATTTGGTAAAAAATTAGTATTTTTAGAAGTGATACTATTTTTAGTCATTTTTAAAGAAATGTATAATACAGATGAAAATACTGTGGTTTGGTTTTGCTTTAAAATGAATGAGAATGAAAAATTTTTTATGAGGAGAAGTAGATGGGGATTATAAGCAAAAAATAGGAGGGTATGATGGGATTATACGAAAAATGAGAGTATGAAAAGAATTCGCAGAAAAGGAAATCGAAAAGCTCTACACGCGAAGCGCTGCCTCAGGAGGGACCACCCCCGTGTGGGCGTGAGAAGGGGTGCGTCCAGCCTGACCGGCTGCTGACACACTGTCAGTGAGGCTTTGGGGAAGCAGCACTTACACTGCTGGTGCAAGCTAGGAAAAAATACATTGATCTGATTTGCTATAAATTACAAGTGCACATAATCTGACCATTTATCCTACAGAGAAATTCATGTGTGTACAAAATGACAGATTTATACAGGGCAATTCACTTCCGCATTGTGACAGCAGACTGGACAGAATCTGTGTGTGCATTAGTAAGGGACAGGTTCAACTGCACACGTCCACACTACACACCCATCTTGAAAATGAGGAAGCGCTTGTCTACTGGTATCAAGTGATCTTTAGGATGTATGGCCAAGGGGTGCAGAAGAGTAGTGCAGTATGCTGTATACTTTAAAAAGAAATGAAAGCACCCATCTTATCTGCTTACCTACAGTGTCACTGGAAGTTTACATCAGAAACTGCTGAGAGTTGCCTAAGGGAAGTGGCTGCAGTACAGGGTGGGAGGGGGGCTACAGACCCCTCCATATCGCTACAATTTTACTTCCTTCAGAACAAATATAAACAACTTAAAAAATCATCCCACGGCTTGTTTTCATATCAAAGCTTATGAACCAAACAAAACCCTTTATCGATAACCCTTCCTGTCATGAAGAAAACCACCCAACTAAAACACTGGGTAAAAGATCTGGACAGCTCACCAAACAGTCTGCAGATTCAAATATATTTAAAGACCATCAACATCAATTAAAAATTAAAATGAGGTACCATGATACACTTATCGGAATAGCAAAAACTTAAAACAATGAGTACACAAATGCTGACAAGAAAGAGTTGCTACGTGAAGCCTCACTCATTGCTGGTGAGGATGCAAAATGGTACAGCCACCCTGGAAGATAATTAGTAGTTCCTTGGGAAACTAAACATAGTCTTACCATATGATCCAACACCCCCGCTCCTTGGGATTTACCCAAATGAACTGAAATGTGATGTACACATAAAAACCTCCGTATGAATGTTTATAGCAGCTTCCTACAAATTTCAGAGATTATTTTCTATCTGCTGAATCAGGAAAAAACTGCATTCCTACATTAGAGCGATTTCTTGGAAAGTCCTGGAACTTAGGCCTGCCTCTACTGCTGAAGTAATAGCACTTCACTCTATCACACAGGTCCTACCAATTGAACGTAAATGTGTTCGCATAATTTAAGGGAAACTCTGAAAACAATGGAATGTTTTAAATTGTAAAATGAATAGGATGTAGCCCAGAGAAAGGTTCCCTAAAGAGAATCTGCTGAGGAACTGTTTAGGGCAGAGGATGCCAGTAGGGCAGGTTAACTCAATAAGCAGGGCCCTTGCCTCAAAATGCCATGTAGGCGGAAGTGGCTTTCTCCTGATTCTTCCTCCTCACACTGCAGAGGTGGTGAGGATTTAGATTCCCACCCCACGGCAGTCTCAGTCTCCCCTCTCACCTGGCAGAAGCATCCTTCCCCCAGCAGAGAGGGACAGAGAGTCTGATTCAGCTTCCTTCTCCAGTGTCAGTTAGGGTATGAGCTTTGGCAATCTCTTCCTTGCTGTATTTCCATGTATCAGAGCCCCCCCTTGCCTGAGCAGTAGCTAGCCTACAAGCAGGAGATGGGTAACATGGTCACATCCAGTCCTGCTATTTTTTTATAGCTTTACCGCAAAGGGGGTTGTAAAGTCACAAACAGAAGAGAAAAATCACTGTCATTACTTATTTCAGTAGCAAATGATGATATACAACCCAGTTTTGTCACACTTTGGGAAGGAGAAATGTCTTTTGTTAGGGGAAAAATAAAAGATCACTTTAATTCTATTACATGCTTTTTACACTTGCCTTGTCAGCAATCACTCATTCAGTAGCCTTAATTATAAGCAGTCACTTATTCATAGGGAGGCCAGAAAAGTATATGGATAAGATGATGTCCCAAGGACCTTTTTTAGTGAGAACTCAGCCACTAGTATGGCAAGGAGGTACCACCTTCCAAGCTGACTCACCACACAACACTTTAAGGCTTTTGCTCTTATCTTTTCTGATATGAAAATGAAACTCATTAGCTTTAACATAAAGTAATTGCAAATGATTGCTTACTAACCCCAATCCTGAAAGAACCTACACATTTTTTTCCACAGCAAACAGAAGATAGCAAAATTAGATACCTACTGCTAAAGGGAAAGAAAAAAGATCACATTCCAATAAACACAGCTACAGACACCAGTTCTCACAGCTTAGGACACACATACAAAAACACACTTCCACCTTTAGTAGTAACACTGAAGCTCTTAAGCTGCTTAAGTCATGTTCTTATAGGATGGCAAATGCAAATCAACCATTTCTCCTTACAACATGCCAGGACTTGATGTAATAAAAATATATTTGGTTTATCCACACATTCCAAAATAAATACTCTTAGGTAATCTGCAGCCTGAACCAAGCCTTCATTTATTGACTATTTACAGTACAGTGGTTTTGTGTCTTAGCTGGTAATCAAAGATGGTTATGTATTGAGAGAAGACATAATCTCTCTTCCAGGTATCTCCTCTCAGAAATGTGGGCAAGTTTCACGTTGAAAACTAGAATTGCATCTCCTGGTAACTATGTAGCAGTCGTCACCCTGAGAACAGGAACAAGGCAAAGAAAGTATACAGGACTTTGATTCTCCTACACAGGTGCACAGAAAATTAGTTTATTAAAGACTACATTTTGAAGCCAGCCATTGTGATCCAATATTTAAATAACAAGCTGTTTAATATTAAAGCAGAAAATATTGCCACACTGTGACAGAAGTACAGCTTTATCCATAAACCCTCCACACAATTTTACATTAAAAGCTATTTTTATTTAAGCAAGGCACCCCTACTTGTTCTACAATATGGGATGTGCGACCCCACTGAAAAGCAAAGGAGGGGACTTGGATGGTTTCCTATCTAGCGCTGGTTTAAATTCAAGTGAAGCCATCAGTGTTCTTACCAGTAGGGACTGTTTTGACACGTCACTTCACAGCTTTAAGACTAACATCCCTAATGTTTACCCCAAGCCAAAAAACCAGGGTGGGGGTGTGGGGGGATGTGCTCAGACAACTTTTAGGTTGAGACTAGAATTCCCTCCTGAAGTACACAGGCACTAATGTCAAATGCCAGTGGCACAGGCTTAGAAAGGCAAAACACTGTCAGTACACACACTGATCTGTGTGTTCATTTTCTTTGTTTTGGATAGTTTTGTTTTTAAATTCCTACCCCTAAGTCATCAAATACACCTAAAATTATAGCTACTCTGCCAAACCATAAAGGTCCAAAGGTCTGAAGCCTTTCCTTGCTTTGGTGAGTATTTAGTTAAAATAAATCAGCATTTTATTCCACAGGAAGTTTTATATCACAGCCCTCAAATAAATCATTTTTAAAACAGGGGGTTTTGAAGGACAGTGCTGAATAAAAATATGCAGTCTTCCCATTGGATACTGTATACTCTATGAAAACAAATTATTTAATCATGAAATAAAGACCAGATTTTTAAATCAGATCCTATCCTGGACAGTTTAAACAATATTTAAATTTGCGGTTTATTTAATCCCAAACTGAATCTTCCCTTTTTCTTTCTAAACAGTCCACTATGGAATTTTTCTTATAAGCAATTAACCCCAAACCCTAAAATCCCTTCTCAAGCAGTTGCTGCTAAAAATGTGGAACTTTATATCCCACATCCAAGACAGACGTGCAGATGAAATGCTTCTTGCTTCATCCTGAAAATAAAAGAGAGTATTGAAAATTTACTCAAAATGAAAAAGGGTTAAAGATGTTCCTATACAATTTAAAATAAATTCAGTATTTTTTCCCCCTAATTTCATGAAATTTATCTGACAAATCCATTAAGCTGAGGTAAAGAAAATCAGTTAGGCATTAATATTTGTAGCCTGGTATGAAGATAGGAGATTTAAGTTGAGCACAGAATATATTTTACACAGATTTTAGCTACATGTAAATATTTAATATCATGAGATTGCGGGGCTTTAGATTCAGAAACAGCCCATGAAAACCACTACAAAGAAATTCCCCACGTGTTTTTATGAAATCATTATAGTTAAGTGTCTCAAAGGAAGGCAAGGAACCGTGTAGGAACTATACAGAGGAAAATGGTTACAATGAAATAAATTAAAAGATTTTACAGGCTGCCAAGATGGAGGCTTAAGTGGAAACACTTTGCTTCCTCGCACAACCAAATCTAAAAACAACAAAGTTTTAACAATAAACGCAACCGAACCACACAGAAAATTGAACAATACGGAGTCAGAAAACAATGAACTGCTCAGCAAAACCGGTGAGAGGGGCAAAGCCAGCAGCGGAGTGGGTAGGGCAAAAAAGATCCCCTGACCCAGGCGGTGCACAGACAGCCGAGGGCGCGGGTCCCAGGCTCAGGTTCCAGGTGCGGGCTAGCTACGGGCGGGACCCAGGGAAGGTGTGGCGCGGCTGGCTGTCTGTGGTCGCGCATTTGCGCAAAGATAAACCAGTGAAGAGATGTGCCTTGAGACAGACCATGCAGGCCCCTGCAGTGCAGGGCGGCAGACTCGCACATTTGCCCTCTGATAAACAGGCGGGGGCGAGTGGAGAGGACCACCATTGCTCCTTCTCTGACCCCGCCCCCACATACAGTGTCACAAACCAGCGACCTGGGTGGACCCGCCCTGGTGAATGCCTAAGGCGCCTCTCCTCATACCTAACAGGCACAAACAGATCAAAGCATGGTTCAAGAACAACTCAAAGCCCCAGAGCCAATAAATCTAAGCGATGAAGAAATAGCCAAACTTTCAGATGCACAGTTCAAAACACTGGTGATCAGGATGCTCACAGAACTGGTTGATTTTAGTCACAAATTAGAGGAACATATGAAGCCTAACTAATTGAAATGAATGGTAATGCACAGGAAACCAATAGTAATGGAAAGGAAACTGGGACTCAAATCAAGGGAGTGGACCAGAAGGAAGGAAAAAATGACCAAACAGAAAAATATGAAGAAACAAGAAAGAATTCAAAAAAATGAGGAGAGGCCTAGGAACCTCCAGGACATCTTTAAACGCTCCAACATCCAAATTATAGGGGTACCAGAAGGGGAAGAGGAACAGTCACAAGTGGAAACCTTATTTGAACAAATAATAAAGGAGAACTTCCCCATTCTGGCAAAGGAAATAGACTCCAGGAAATCTAGGAAGCTCAGAGAGTCCCAAAGAAGTTGGACCCAAGAAGGAACACACCAAGGCACATCAACATTACATTAGCCAAGATTAAAATGAAGGAGAGAAATCTAGAAGCAGCAAGAGAAAAGGGGATAGTCACCTACAAAGGAGTTCCCATCAGACTGTCAGCTGATTTCTCAAAAGAGACCTTACAGGCAAGAAGGGGCTGGAAAGAAGTATTCCAAGTCATGAAATCCAAAGACCTATATCCAAGATTGATCTGTCCAGCAAAGCTTTCATTTAGAATGGAAGGACAGATAAAGTGCTTCTCAGATAAGAGCAAAATCAAGGAGTTCATCATCACCAAGCCCTTATTATATGAAATGTTAAAGGGACTTACCTAAGAAAAAGAAGATAAAAAAGATGGAAAGAAGATAAAAAAGAAAGGACAGTGAACTCACAGTTATTAAGAACCACACCTAAAACAAAAGCAAACTAAGAGGACAGCTAGATCAGGAGTGGAACCATAGAAATGAAGATCACATGGAGGGTTAGCAACAGGGGAGTGGGAGAAGGAGAAGGGGGGAGAAGGTACAGAAAATAAGTAGCATAGATGGTAGGTAGAAAATAGGGGGGAGGGTAAGAATAGTAGGGGAAATATAGAATCTAAAGAATGTGAGACACATGTTCATGAACTAAAGGGGGGATGGTGGGGGAGGGGTGTACAGGGTGGAGGGGAATGGAGGGGGGTAAATAGAACAAATGTAATGGCATAATCAATAAAATAAAAAATATATTAAAAAATTAAAATACAGGAAAATCCATCAAAAAATTAAGTAGGAAACCAGCTGACCTTAAAAATAAATAAAAAAATAAAAATAAAAAAATAAAAGATTTTATAGGGTAAAAAAAGGCACCACATAACATCTGGTCAAAGGAAAAGACATCAGGACGATGTATTTCATAGATTTGTCACAAGTACGTTAACTCTATGAAATCACATTCTACTGCCTAGTACAACCCTTTTTATAACACCATTTTAGGTACAGAAACATGATACACCAAGTATATGTATCACTGATAGGCCCTGGTTTTGAATGAACCATTTTACACATCTTAACAATATCTCAGAACTGAGGAAATTAACATTTAGAAAGAAAAATGAATGCAAGCACATTTCCAGTATATTATGATTTATAGTTACTAAAGGTGAAAAATTTTCAGGCACGCAAAATGATAAATGTTGAGAAAGATGCAAAAAGGCTGTGTATGGGGAAAATACTCAAAGCCACTGTACTATAACAATGAATTATTTCCCAGGAGAGTACCATTCCCTATACTGATGCTTCAATTATCATGACTAGTTTCACCTTTATTAAAGAGAATGGCCCCAGCATGTTACAAATGTGTGAGATACTAATTAATTCATCACTAGAAAATAATTTCTACAATTCTACCTCTTAAATTTACCTTCTGCTCTGGAGTCCCTGGAAGTCTTATTTCCCCTTTGGACATGAATTCAGGAACAATTCAATATACCTATGTTCTGAGAATGACAAAGAAAAAGATTCATGTCAAAAAGCTGAAAAGGCGAACATAATACTATAGCTATTTTTCTTATAGCTCAGACAGAAACTCAAATCCTTTCCCCATTTCTTTCTTAAGTAAAATAAAAAACAAAATTAAAAAATCCTAACTAACTCTACAGACAGAAATAATGCAGGATAATCAAATGCTTTTCATTATAATACAATGTTTCATCCTTTTTACATTTAATTTAGGAGGATTAATAAAGCATAATTTTCCCAGTGAAATACTCTAGGCAAAATTCCAAAACAGAACAAGGTGCTGGTGAGTGAAGACACGCGCCAGAAACGACGACGATAACCGCGGGCAGCACTCACGGACGTGGGACCGATCCTTGAGCATCGCTGCCACGGCATCCTCATGGGTATCGAAGTGCACATCCGCTTCTCCGGTGGCCTTCCCACTGGAACTGTATTCCATGGTGATTCTAACAGGCTTCAGTGGAGCAAAAAACTAAGCAAACAAAGGAAGCCAAAAAGAACACAATGGTACTAGGCCCAATTTCTGTACGTCTAATGGTTCTGCATTTTTCTTTCAGACTGTGATTCATATGCTTTGATTAATTTGTTTTGAGGAAATCTCTTTAAGCAACAAAGTAGACATCTACCACCTCTCTGGCTTTACTGATTTCCTTAGAACTCAACATTCATTTCAAACATCCATTTACAGAGAACTTAAACTATAAATCCACTACCACAAGACAAATATTTCTCAACATTTTTTATACCAACAAAGACCACTTTTATTATTCCTCCCACACACATCCTTCCCTGTTTCTAAAGACTCTCTTCTCTGTCCAACAAATATACTTTATTTCTTAATAATTCATTTTTAACATTTTTTCAGCAGACATACACCTGATAACCAGTTTCTTATCAGCACTACAGAAGCAGAGGCTACCACCTGAGTGGTTATCATTCCAAACCAAAGCAACAGAGTGTAATACTTTTATCAGACTGTGCAACCTTCATTTAGGTAAAGATCTGGTACCTATTAGGCTTTTTGAAATAATAAAGATAACTGAGGCCCCACTGCTAACTGAAAACTCTAGGTTTGGATCTACCTTAAGTTTATGTTCTCAAGTTCAAGTCAATAAGGGCTTTGTTGCTTTATCTTTTCATTGCATACAGTATCTATTATAAAATAAAATTAAAAGACGGCCACATGGTCTAATGAAAACTCCCAACATTTAAGAGTCCTAAATTCTGTCTAGAACGTAACTGCTCTGTGGCAAGTTCCCCTGGAGCTCAGTTTCCTAAGTTCAAAGCTGCTGTGTTGAACCATTTTAGAGAAACCAAACTTTCTCTGACTAAAAACCTGTATCATACTATTTTGCATCTATAAAATTTTATCCACTCTACATTTCACCTTAAAACCCAATAACGTCCACTCCTGGCTGGTGCGGCTCAGTGGACTGAGTGCCAGCCTGAGAACCAAACGGTGGCCAGTTTGATTCTCAGTCAGGGCACATGCCTGGGTTGTGGTCCAGGTCCACAGTGGGGGGCATGTGAAAGGCGACCACACAAGGATGTTTCTCTCTCCTTTCCTTCCCCTCTCTCTAAAAACAACTAAATTAAAAATCTTAAAAAAAAACAAACAAACCCCAAAACCTAATAGCATCCATACTTCTCAGGTAAAGAAAATGAAACAAGCCTCGGCAACCATGGAGAAGCCATCGTACTGTCCACAGGTACTCCAGAAATACTGCATTTTCTTCTCTACCTTCCTGAAACTAACTGAAGTTCAATTCTAGAACTTTCACTCAAACCTACTGAGACTGGAATCTTACGGCCACGCACGTTTATAATGTCCTGGGCGTTGGCTTGGAAAGGCAGTCCTCTCATGTGCACACAATGTAGCGAGGACGCGGTTCCAAAATCAGCAGCCTCCGGGAGCTTTTCTGACACCTCCTCAGGCAGCTCTGGGAGGTGGAACAAGCAGCACAGTCAGGAGCATAAAAACTCCGAGAATTAAGAGATTACAATTAGGTATGACCTTTCTGTCAAAATCCTCAATTCCTCTTGAACCAGTAAGAAGGGCTTTAATTTTAAAAGCCAAAATGATAGAGATTCCTGCCACTTTACGAATGTCACCTGAACACCAGTAAGATTTTGTGCCTCAACCCATTACCAGATTATAAAAGAACACCTTTCTGTAACAACAGGGAGGAGAAAAAATGGTTATTAATGAAAAAAATAAAGGAAAGAGTAACTTTCTGGGTTATGGGTGAAAGAAAGAAGAAAGGAAGGAAAAAGAAAAGTTAACAGGATAATCCCAGGGCACTGATTTAAAAAGGATTTATCAAACTTCAAAGATTCTAAATGTTGCTTTGGGGCTGGGAACCCCAGGAATAACTTACATAAGGAGATAAACAAAACTCCTTACTTCAGTCAGCATTACTGCTCTCTACCCAGCGCTTCCCCCTCCTTAGTCTATTGACATTTTGCTTCCTTTTGTTCTATCTGTGCCACCCGGCTTTCCCGATATAGAACCTACAAAAATTATTACATTTAAAAATCTTATGATTAAGCCCTTCTACATATATTCAAAGTGCATACTACACTCAACTCAATTTCCTGGTCTGATAGTCTTACAATTTCATACAACATGGTAAAAAAATTTTTAACAAATATCAAAACATACAATACAGACCCAATTAAGTCTCAACAAATGGCAGGTCCTTACCTATTTCCTTCTCACTTTCAAAAGCTGTCATAGGTCGAACATCCTCATTTATTTCATGTTCTTCAAAGACCACTTCAGGCTCAGTTATATACTTAGCAGACGGAGATGCCATTTTCCTTCCCTTATGAGCACCGACATATGTTCGAACTTCATTCCTTCTGCTTGGAAATATCTCTATATATCTATGTCAAAGCAAAAGAGAACAAGCACAAATGGTGCCGAATAACCTTACATTGGACTTGTTTAAAATAAAACATGTATATATACTATTTCCAACAACTTAATGAAACACAAGAGCCACAGGATAATAGGTATGTGTGTGCTTGGGGGCGGGGAGTACTCTCAAAAGAACAGACCACTGATTTAGTCACCCTGAAGATCAGTTTTCTTCATACACATTTTAACAGCATTTTCTACCTTACTTGCTTCATGAGAACTATACCAAGAGTAATTGTGTGTATGCGAAGAATTAATCTGGTATGAAGGATTTTTGTACTGAAGCCCTAAAATTCAATTCTGTGAAAATCAATCGTATCTGTATAAGATATTAAAAGTCACAGTGTATGAGGAGCTAACTTCCTCCAGAATGTTGCTCAGAGTCCAGTGAGACTCAGGAACTAAACGTCAGTTCTGACCTGCCCGGCAGGGAGGCTGCCTGTTAAATCCAAGCTTCTGGATCCAGTTTTCTTTTCTCATCACTGCTTTTCCAAATCAGGTTATTAAGCTTGAATTGTAAAAAGCATTTCTATTTACAGGCCTATAAAGATTAGATGAGCTGCATTTTTAATTTATTGAAGAGATTGCTACACTGCCTTAACACTGTCCCCTACAATAACTCTGATGTGTTTTTCCAAGATACACACAATATGAAGACCAGTGAAGAAAAGGGGGTGGGAGGGAACACTCTGCACACGCTTTTCCACTTAAAATTGAATACAGACCTCCGAACCAGTTCTATAAGTAATTCTGACAATGGCTCTACCAAGTGGAATGGCTTTTTTTTTTAATTTCAAAGGAGTCAAGTGAAATGCCAGAAAGCAACAAAAAGGTGACTTAAATTTTGACTTTTGAAAACTCCTCCAAAATTAAAGCCAAAACACAACAGAAGCCACCCATCACTATTTGCATCCTAAGGTGATACAATATATAGCACACAGAATCATCTCACAGGGTGTCCAAACTTCTGACGTTTCTGGTTTCTGTGCCACACTGGAAGAAGAGTTTATCTCGGGCCACACATTAAATACACGAACACTAACGAAAACTGATGAGCAAAAAAATAAAAAAGGCTTTAAGTAAATTTGTGATTTCGTGTTGGACCATATTCATAGCCATCCTGGGCTGCATGTGGCCCACAGGTTAGACACCCCTGACAGAGTGTCCACATCAAAATGTTAGCTTGACTGCCCTGGCTGGTGTAGCTCAGTGGACTGAGCGCGGGCCTGTGAACCAGACAATCGTGGCTCGATTCCCAGTCACGGCACATACCGGGGTTGCAGGCCAGTTCCCAACAGGGGACGCACAAAAAGGCAGCCATACATTGATGTTTCTCTCCCTCTCTCCTTTTTTTAAAATCTTAAAAAAAAAATGTTAGCTGGAAACCAATTCAAGACTTTAGCCCTAACTTCCAGCTGTTAGGGAGTAATACGGGATACAAAGAACATGTTAAATGACACCATGAGGAAGCAATAACATAAATATAGTGCATGAGACAGTGTACAGGACAATGGACCCAATTTCTTCAAAAGTCAACAACATTTAAAAAGGTGGAGAGGCCCTGGTTGGTGTGGCTCAGTGGACTAAACACCAGCCTGAGAACCAAAGGGTCACCAGTTCGATTCCCAGTCAGGGTACGCACCTGGGTTGTCGGCCAGGTCCCCGGGAGGGGGCACACGAGGGGCAACCACACATTGATGTTTCTCTCCCATTCTTCCTCCCTCCCCTGCCCTCTCTCTAAAAATAAATAAATAAATAATATCTTTGAAAAGAATGCATATGCACCTGTTTCTAAAAAAACTTTTTTAAAAATGGGGAGGGAATAAAAAAATAATGAAGGGGATTTGCTTTACTTTAAAAGAACTGCAAACATAACAATCAAATACAGTGTGGACTATGCCTGGATTCTGGTGCAAAAAAAGCCCCAACTGTAATGACATATTAGTTATAATTTTAAAGATGTGACTTCAGTCACAATTTTAGGGCTTCAGTACAAAATCCTTCATACCAGATTAATTCTTCGCATACACGCAATTACCCTTGGTATAGTTCTCATGAAGCAAATAAGGTAGAAAATGCTGTTAAAATGTGTATGAAGAAAACTTATCTCCAGGGTGATTAAATCAGTGCTCTGTTCTTTCGAGAGTACTCTCCCCCCCTCCCCGGCACACACATATACCTATTATTTTATGGCATTAGATAATAAATTGTTGCTAATTTTGTTAGATGTGATAATACAGACCTCATGTAAGAAAAAGCATTTTAAAGATGCATACTGAAATAACAGGTACAGCAAATTACAAATCAGCAATTTGTTAACAGGCTCTTGAAAGCTCAGCCTACCATTCTACTTTTCTGCATTTAGATCATCTGACATCATGTCACAGTGCAGTCATCAAAATGACCCAGCGATGACAGGCCCGCATCAGTGTATCTGCTTCACTCACCGGTTACCAATCTCCTCCCTGTGTTTCAATAGGGCTTGACTGGCCATTTCTGGTTCTTCAAACTGCACGTAGGCTTCTCCTGTTTTTCTTCTCCCTCTGTAGTCCATCACAAAAGTAATGTCTACTATATTCAGTCCTAGGACACCCAAAAATTACCACAAATGAGTGCTGCTAACAGGAGCTTTTTTTATCCTTAAAATTAACAGTCATCCATATACTAATTTTTTTACTTTCTTAGTAAAATCTGGGAGCTGCTCTACCAATCCCGAAGACTGATACAAGCTTCACTGGAAGAACATTTTTATGTGGCCAAAAACCAGTAACACCCACACAACTATATTTGCAGAATGGTTAGGGTCCCAGCATTCACATACAACACAATTCTGTCTCTCTTTTTTGCCATTATATAGTAGGGGAAATAAAGATCTTGACTAACATCACTACTAATGATGCACGCTTTACAGCTAAGAATTAAATAATGCTACTAAATCATATAAATTGCTACTGTCTTAATATGGACATTGTTATGAGAGGGTATTTTCCCTCAATAGTAAATAAACCCACATGAACTATTTTGCAATCTGCTGTCTTGATCACCATGCTAGGTAAAACACTCATATAATCAACGAAGATAGGAAATTCGAATGAAGAGTTCTCCCCCCAAGAAACCTAATATAACTGCATGCAGTTGTCTAGGAAAAGGTTCATGTGAGATAAAGAAGGAGACAATGGGGGGGGGAGGTGCGAGGCCCCAGAAATGTAAAACTGAAAAGCACCTGCAAAGAAGTCTACAATGTCTTTCTCGTTGCAACTGTAAGGCAGTCCTCTCAAACGAACCACACCATCATTTACCACAGGCGAAGATTTGACCTGCAGGCTCTTCATTAAGGCATCCACATCTTCATTGTTGATCTCATATACTACAAAGCAAAAGCATAAAAGGTATGTCAAATTTACATAACAAGGCCTTGAAAAAGTCACACTTGGTGGGACATCCAAGAATTGAAAAAGCAGCGTTTTTCCATCTTTATGTACTTCTTTGGAGAAAATAACAAATGACATTTACTGAATATTTACCATGTGACAGGAGTCCCTCATTTAAACAGCACAAATTGTGAGGTAAACTCGGCCAACATCTCCATTTTATAGATAAAACACAGACAATCTCTGGGATCCTTTTTGCACCCTATAAAAGGGGTGTATTCCTAATATTTAACTGCTAAGGATGAAATGAAAGTGCCTTGGGAAGTAGAAGTCTAATGAAATGATCCTGAAAGCCCGCAAGGTGACATCACGTACCTTCCACATACCGCTGACCCATGTACAGGCGGTGCTTTTCTAAGGCTTTCTGCACATCCTGCTCCGACTCCATCTCAATTAAGGCATCACCCCTTCGCTTCCCATCTCTATTTAAGAGGAAGTGTATTCCATTCTCACCATTGCGAATCCTGCAATCTAAAAGTATGTGAGTAAAAAATCAATTAAAACCAGAAATTAAACTTTTAACTCCATTATATAAGTCACTCGAATGCAATCCTCCAACAACAAAGCAGAGCAGGAACCAAAACACCTGCCATATGTCTTCCACAAACTCCCTCACTGAAGCCATCCAAATGCCAGTGTGGTGGTCGTCTCTCAAACATTCCACGTGAAAAGAATAAGCAAACTTTACTGCACAGAAGCTTATGATTTCCTGATCATTCAATGGCAATTTAAGCTAGGCTAAACAAAAGAAATGTATTATGTTCCAACGCTTCCATGGTTACGTTTTATGAATGTGTCTTCTTTTGTTACAATCGTAACCAGAAAAACTCTAAAAAGCCCTAGAAGAATAATTTTGCTACCATCATTTAACCTTTCCCCTTTTTATTACTAAGAAAACACATCTTCATACTTCATACCTCTTTTACTAGAAAGGGAACAAGTAAAAGATGTACATTGGCTTGATGAAATGCTTGACCACACAAAGCGATGCACATTGAGGTACTTAGTACATGTCACACTGTTTTTTAACATCTGTGACAGAATCTTCTAAAACTCTCTTAAAAGGAAAATTAAAAATCAGTTAGATACAGAAATGAAAAACCAACCACAGATTTGCAAACCTCCCAAACATGTTACTAAGGGAACTATGTCACTTAACACTAAGTGATCTTGTATGCTAAATGTATTACCTAAAGATCTCTTAACCCATGTTCCCACTAACATAGTTCCACTAACGGGTTTGTCTTTTGATCTTTACATAATAAAACATGAGAGAAAACTGGTTTTATTAAATTTTAGTCTTAGTGTTAAATTTTTTGTTGTCTTAACATTACACTTTTTGTTGCATTTGGTCTTAAAACTGGTGTGCATCACCAATGGTACTCACAGTGTCACTCGGTACACACCAGCAAGATGAGACAATTCTAAACCATCAAATAAGATGCTTATGGCAGTTTAGCTTGGATTTGGGGGCACTATCTTCCACTCAGACAAAATCACATATTTAAAACATACATAAAAGGTACCTGAAAAAAAGCTAAGCACATCTTCTACAGTGCACGACCACGGTAATCCTTGAGCACGAATGAGATACACATCATCCACCTCGTCTCCTAACTTGGATGGGGCCACCTCATACTCGGGGAGAGGTGGAAGGTCTTCCAGGTAGGTTGTTTTAGATTCCTTCCAAAAGAAATAAAGAAACACAAAAATATTTCTTTGACAACCTACTTAGAAAATGTTTACTGCTGCAAACTAATGCTCTGGATGTTATTCTCAGGACAGGCAAGAAATACACTTCACAAATGTAACTCATCCTGTTTTGGCTTAAATTGTGCATTCTAAAGCAACACACAGGTATATTCCAATGGTTTGGCAAGACACAAATTTTATTCAGGACTTGTTTTGAAATTCTTCAGTCCCGAATTACACTTAAGAATAGTGCTTTTGCTAAGACAGAACAAGAGGGGTCCCTTCAACTTGACAACTATGTGAGTGCCTCCTACTTAATGTGTGCCATTTACACCTGGGGTGTCAAACTCATTTTCACCAGGGGCCACATCAGCCTCGCCGTTGCCTTCAAAGGGCTGAATGTAATTTTAGGACTGGATAAATGTAACTACTCCTTAGGAGTTGAAAGAGAGCTCAGCACTGCTGCCCAACACAACAAGGTGGAGGGCCAGATTAGGCCCGTGGGCCTTGTGTTTGCCACCTGTGATCTACACTAAGACAAGCATACAAGATGGGATGCTTTAAGTGCTAGATGATACAAGATATTGTATGAATTCAAAACAGCACTAAGCGTAGAATCAAGACATGTTATCAGATGGACCTTGAAGGGAGAACAGCCTTCCAACAGTGGCATATAAAGGGAAGGGCATTCCAGTTTGAGAGGTGAGAGGAGGAAGTAATATGAACAAAAGCCCATTTGCAATACAGCAATAATCCCATTTGGCTAAACTGTAGGGTCCAATCAGAAGCCAAGGAAGATGAGCTGGCAAAAGGAACTTGGTACCATTTAGCAGAGGGTCTTGAGTGTTAAGCTCGGTGTGTCTCCTTAACCTGGTAGGCAAAAAGGGGTTAACAAAAGACATTTAGAAGTGGATAAATCAACAAGACAGCAGGGTGCTTAGAAAGGTTAACCTGTCAACTAGTATGTGAGAACCAACTGGATAGAAAAAAAATCATAAAAGGCAAGAGCAGTTATGTGAGGTAACAGGAGCCTCAGACATATCTAAAGAACTCTATTTTACAAAACTAAGCAAAAATTGGAATTTAATCAGATTCCAGTAAGTACCATAACATGAGTGGGCAGACAACTCGGGAAGCAGGATTTGCATTCTACTGACCTAAGGAAAGAGATTCCTTTGTACTCTCACTGTTCACATGAAGACTCATGTCTAATTCTATGGAAATAATGATAAACGTAAACCTCTAGCAGAGGTCTAATACATTTTTAATAAGAATGCAACTAGTAGTACAATTAACATGGGAAGACAACTCAGGCTTTAAGACAAATGACTTGCAGTCTACTGGGCTAAAGAGAGATACTTCACTCCTATGTATATTAGCATCATTTTCAGGAAGATTTTAAGATGTCAGTAACAAATGTCAGCACAGTGCATAACACTAGTAGAGACTCAACAGATATTATCATAGTCAATTTCAGAGGAAAAAAGAAGTAAAGAGAGTAGCCTGCTCATAAGGGCTTACTAGAGATGGTTTGTTTTTTAATAAAGGCAACATTCCCCAATGTCCCAGAATTCCATAAACATCAGAAGCTTTTACAGAAAAGGGCAGCAGAAAGTATTGGGCCAGGATTCAAGTCAATTAGCTCAGCCACTGGCAGACAGCAGCCATGCTGATTAGCCTCCCAGTTTGCCTAAGTTCAAGGAGAAACACAAAGTGAATTTAGATAAATATGAACCCAAGGCATCAGGCGCTGAATAGTCGAAAAGTGTAGTGACGTTTCCCAGATGTCATGTAACAAGCAGAAGGGTTCCTGCAAGGCACAAAATAGCTGTAATCTGAGTTCTTAAAGCACACACTGATTTTTAAAAGGACAACACTGTAAATCCACTCCTAGATCCCCAAATCGTGTCCTAGACGCCCCCTCTCCTTGCCTCCCCTCCCCCAGTCAGTCTCCGCACAGTCCTTTCGGCGGCGACCCTTGGTGGTACAAGGCTTTCTGTCAAGGAAAGTGGAGGTGCAGAGGTGACCTTCAGTAATCTGGGGCAGCCCGCCTTCCCTAACGACAGTAGACAGAGCAGCATTGGGCATGACCCTCCTTCCCCACGAATCCAGCCCACGCAACTGTGCGCGTGAACCTTCAAATAAGCGGGCTGCCCGGGCCTAATGCTCTGGCTGCACGAAAATTCCCATAGCTCCGCAGACTCAGCCTCCCAACTTCACAACCTGCGGACTGAGGGCGACAGGGATGCAGGATGAGGGCGTCAAGAGTCTCATAAAACCTACCATGGGCCGCAGGAAACAAGGCCTCAACATTCACCCCCAGCCACACTTACACTCCACAACCGACCAGACTCACAGGAGAACAAAACAAGGAGAAAACCCAAAGCCGGGAGAGCGTCCCTTGCTCAGAGGCCCAATAGGAGGACTGGGCAGCCGGGGGCGGGTATGCGGCGTGAGCCGCGGATCCCGGGCCGCGCACGCGGAGGAGCGCGGGGACGCGTGCGCGCGGCCCTTCGGGGAGCCCACGTACCTGGCTGTAACCCCGCGCCGGGCCCGCGGCCGCAGCCAAGGACTGCGGCAGCAGAGGGGCGCGCAAGGCCGGGTAAGAGGCGGCAGCCGTGGCGGCGGCGGACACGGCCGCAGGGGGAGGCCCCGCCAGTCTCCCGGTGGGCGCAGGCCCGGTATGGAGGCCCCGCGTCTGTGAGGCGGCGGCCGCGGCGGCCCCGAGCAACAGTAGCAACCGGCGACGGCCGGAGACTTCCGAAGGAAAAGTGCCGGCGGCAGAGTAAAAGGGCAGGCAGGCGGCGCCTGTGCGCCGGCAGCTGCTGCAGTTGCAGCCGCAGCCCCGGAGCAGCGCCCCGAGCACCCAGCGGGTCCCGGCCATGGACTCCGGAGGCGGCGCGGGGCCTGTAGGCAGCTGCGGCTGCAGCGGGAGTGGAGGGGAAGTGGAATCCAGGGCCGGGGAGGGGCGCCAGGCACATGCGCCGCGGGCACTGGGGACAGCAAGGAGTCCCGAGGAGGCGGGGGAGAGAGCGCAGCTCCGCCCGGTCTCCGCCTTTGAGGCGGAGCTGCCTGCCGCCGCGGGGGGGGGGGGGGGCGGCGGGCGGCGGGGCCCAGGCAAGATGGCTCTTCTACTAGTTGAAAATGATGTCCCGAGTTGGCAAGGTGAAAGCCTTCCTCCTTTGAAGACAGCCCAGACGTGGAACGCCAGTCTAGGTACACCGGTATTGTACCCCCGAGAAACGTGGCACATGAGAGGCAAAAAGGGCAGCTTCCGGAAGGAATTGTGATACTCTGCTTGTAAACAAAGGTTGGAGTGAATAAGTGGAGTAGGTTTAGGAGTCCCTAAAGTTGAGCTATATGTGGAAGACCAACTTTCTTTTAAAGTAACAAATTTATATAATGATTATACATTCATATAACAAAGATAAAGCCTTCCTTAATAAGTTAGTGTATTCAGGTAGACAGGCAGAGATTTGAAAAAGCTGACTGTGCATTTTTCTTCCTGTGGTCAGGAGCCGTCTCACATTAGTAGGCAAAGGGGAGTTCTGAGAGTAAAAAATAGAAAAAGCTAAAATTTCGAGCTTTTTATTTTTGTAAAGTCTCAAAAGCATGATGAAGGTATAAAATTTCAGAAAATATCAACACTTTAAAAATCTTGTTTTATCTATCCCCACCACCACCGCCCAAACATTTGTTTCTTAGCTGGACTCTATTAAAGCAAACCTCAAAGATCACAGCAATCACCCTTTCAGTATTCGTCTTAAGCTGGTAAGGACTTAAAAAGAAACAAAAACACAATACTCAGTTGTTTTGAAGTATTCAAGATTATTGTGTTTAAGTTGTTTACTCTGGCCTACTTTTAGGGAACAGAAAAGTTGGAATTCCCCCCAAAACTCCCCACCAAAAAAGAGCAAAGAACAGTAAAAAAATCGGATTGGCTTGGCTCTGTGGACCTGGAGTATCAGAGAGAAGGGGACTTCTCATCTGCAAAATTTGAAATCCTAGAGATTTTTTTTCTTAAATCTCTCTTTTCAAGAAGGAAAATGGATTATCCCTTCCTAACATCACTATAAATCACGATTTGTGGACATGTTAGAGATTCTGCCCGTATTTACTCTTGCCTTCATTTTTTAATAGCTGAAGTCATCGTCCATAATATGTAACTCCAGGTTGGAAATCTAAATGCATAGAATGAAAATTTACAGATTATATTTAGAAGTAACACGTAAGTATTTAAATTGAACATTGTTTTTAAATTAATGTATAGTTGACAATTTTATATTCATTTCAGGTGATTGAACATTTATATACCTACAGTGTGATCACAATGATAAAATCTAGTAACTATCTGTCACCATACAAAGTTGAAAAAGGGGAGAACTTTAGCCCTGGCTGGTGTGGCTCAGTGGATTGAGCGCCTACCGAACCAGAGGGTCTCCGGTTCAATTTCCAGTCAGGGCACTTGCCTGGATTGCTGGCCAGGTCAGATTCCCCAGTAGGGGGCGTGCGAGAGGCAACCACACAGTGGTGTTTCCCCTTCTTTCTCCCTCCCTCCCCCTCTGTCTGAAATAAGTAAATGAAATGTTTAAAAAATAAAAAGTTCAAAAAAGAAAAAGTGGACAACTTTGATTTTTACTTACAGGGAATTGGTAAACATTTAAGGGAGAAAAGAAACTAGCTTTGGTACTGACTGGTGTGGCTTGGTGGGTTGGGCAACCTCCCTTAAACCAAAGGGTTGCTAGTTGGAGTCCCTGTCAGGGCACATGCTGCCCCACCTGTACATTGGGGGTAAGTGAAAGGCAGTCAGTTCATGTTTCTCTCCCTCTCTTTCTCCCTCCCTTCTCCTTGCTCTAAAAATAAATAAATCTTTTATTATTTAAAAGGTTTAAAAATTTTTTAAACATTTAAAATTTTTTTCAAGTACAGTTTTCTGCCTTTTTCCACCACCCCAGCCTTCCCACCCCTGTTACCGATCCCCCCTTTTGTTATTGTCCCTGTGTCCTTTATAATTGTTCCTGCAAACCCTTCTCCTTTTGCCCCTGTGATCAATCCCCTTCCCTCTCCCTTCTGGTCACTGTCAGCCTGTTCTCAATTTCAGTGTCTATGGTTATATTTTGCTTGCTTGTTCGTTTTGTTAATTAGGTTCCTGTTAAAGGTGAGATCATATGGTATTTGTCTTTCACCGCCTGGCTTATAAAAATAAATAAAATCTTTTAAAAATTAACTTCAAATCATTATTCATTCATCTAAAAAGCATATCAGGTGCTTTTTGTGTTTCAGGCACTGTGTTGGTGCCCTGTGCGTTCAAGAATGTAAACTAATAGGCTTACAGAGTAAATAGCAAAGTGATATTCACATTTGTTTATGTCTAGATTATATGCAGGGAGACTACAAAGTTTGTAAATTAAAATGAATGACCAGGTTTTAAAATTTGTGTTAATTAATACTATTTGAAACCCAAATAACTAACTGGCTCTAAAGTACTCTTTAGAGCTAAATTTTTATTATGGAAATAAAAGGGCTATCTTGAACAAAAAATTTACATTGAGAGGCTTTTGAATAGGGTGGTGACAATGGAGAAAAAGAAGATATGATATATATATATATATATATATATATATATGAACTAGAATCAGTAGAATTTGAGGCTAGGTTAGAGCGATGGTGTTTTCTGTTATTGTTACTTGGAGTTGGGAGGAGTGGATAGAGATGACTTCATCCCTGAGAAAGCTTAGAAATTATATATATATATGTATAGATTAGTATTAGATTTATATATCTATAGATATATAGATAGAGAGAGAGAGAGAGAGGAAGAGAGGATGCAAATCAACCCCACTCAGTTTTAAAGTGGAGAAATACTCATTTGGGTGTTGTCAGTATAAAGGAAGCTGCTGGTTTGAATGTGATTCCTTGGACCAAGTTTAGAGTGAGAAGGAAAAAAAGGCATAGAAAGAAGTCTTGAGGTACTACAACATTGAATGCCCTGTAGAGTAAAATGAACTTGCAAAGAGGAAGGAGCAGCGAGAGAGTCAAGAGCAAATTAAAGAAAGGCAACAGTGTGTCTGGAAGGAAATAGGGAGTACTTAGCAACCTCAAGTTCTTACTAAGATTAGTAGTTTCTCAACAAGTGAAATGAGAACAGGAAAAAATGGCTTGGTAAATTTAGTGATGTGGGAAGTCTTCAGTAATCTTATCCACAATTGGGGAACTAATAGCAGAGTCTGGAATAAAGCAGATGTGAAGAACTTGAGGTAGAAGTGCAAAGAAAATATAGATGGAAAAAAGAGATAAGGCAATAAAGGAAGTATAGGTCAAAAGCATGTTGTGTTTTGCCTTATTTGGGTTAAACAGGTGATAGTAGAGCATGTTGAAGTGATGTTGGGAAAAGATGTTAAGAATTTAATTGAGTAACTAGGGGAAAATAGGCATAATTAATGTTTGGGTTTCTGGAAAGGTGAACAAATATAGGCATCAAAGCTCAGGTGCAGAAGTTCGCTTTAAATAGAAGAGAGCTTCTCCACCTTCCCTATAATAAATCATAAAGCATATAGTTCTTCTGATATGACCACTTAGCACTCATTACGGTATTATATACAGACTAGCACTGACAAGGGGTCAGCCTACTTCTCTGACAAGAATTTCTGAGGTAGAGCCAGTCAAAACTGGTGGAAAGAAACACTAGATTTGGGGGAGGAGAAGAAGGAAGGAGAAAAACAATCACCTCCCTCCACTGGGAAAGAATGCTCAAATGTACCCCTCTTAGCTGTAAAAAACACATTCTTATAAACTGGGAGAGGAGCTGGAAGGGGGTGATTGTTCTGATATCTAATAAATAAATTAAGGACCTCACTTCATTGTCTCTGCCCCTCAGGTCTTAGAGGCGAACGTACTTTTCTTCTGATATGCAAGGAGGCTGAGTTCTTCTCAAAGGGTCCCATGCACAGCCTTCTTTGCATTTGAAAGAAAAAAATCATGAACCATGGATGTCAATAAGCCTAGGGTGGCAAAAGGAAAAGCCATTGAAGTCGAGTACCATAAAGAAATGGTGCCCGTTTGTGTAACTTGTGATTACACAAGGTGCTACTCATCATCCAAGATGAAAGGAAGAAGTTTATTACATTGAGTAGATGGATTCAAGACAACTTCAACAATTGGAGCTACCAGTTACTTCCAAGGGGAGACAAAAAGGTGCATTTTATCACCACTATCACGGCCTCATTCTTTTATCTGACAAGAAAAACTGATCCACTGGGCCCACAAGCTCTAAGGTTTGTTTGCTGCGATGATGTGTTTCCTAGGTTAGCTTTATCAGTTGGCCTGTATTCACTATTAACAAGCCCATGCTAAGCAATTTTTATGTCTCTTCCATAGGTTGTGTTTGGAAAGCCCTTCTGTGAAGGAATAAAATGTACCTGTTTACAATTGATACATGGCAGACCACCAAACCTAAACACTGCAGTATCATCACTTCTTAAAATGAAAATAGGTCTCTGGGAAAGAGAGTAGCTGATTAGTTATTTAAATGAAATATACTGTCAAGAATAGTAATTTAAATAAAAATAAAAGGATTGCCGTAAATTAATAGCTCATTTCCCACTCCTCTGACCCCACCAATAGTTCTAAATGAACAACACTGGAAATGTGACCTACATTGCTGAGGAAGTTCTCAGAATACAATGTCAACATGATTTTTACAGGAAACTGATCTACTCCAGATAGATGGGGCAGTCACAAAATTGAGCTCTCTGTGGATGTTGAGTCAGTACTTACTACTGTGTCAAGCTCACACTGAGAATATTTAGAAAGTGGAATGATTGGCCTTGGCATCCTCTGGCCCTATTTACAAAAATAAGGTGCTGGTGTGTTTTACTACTCATACTGGGACATTCTCCCACTAACTAGCTTTTCCTAGGAAAGCCAAAACTAAGGTGCAACCAGAGACCAAGGTGCTGAGCGTCATCTGACACATACAAGCTACAGAATACCAAGAAGTCTTTGCTAATAGGCATCATTATTAATAATCATCTCTTTAAGATACATTAACATAATTTTTTAAAGCCATGCAAGATTATATACACACATGTGCAAAAACAGAGTAGGGTTTGCCTCTAACAGCTGTTCTCTAGTCAAACATTTCTCAAAGATAGATGGTTACCAGTTTCTTGTGTATCCCTTAAGAGATGATCTGTGCAGTGTTTTGTCACTTTTAAATTTAGTAATTCCACTGTTCTTGGGATTTTGACAAATTTTCCACCTGCTATCAAAGGATGAAGCCAGTGTGTTCATAAATTGAGAGCAAGAGGAAATGGACACAATAGGCAAATGAGATCCTAGGTCACAAGAAACAAAGGATACTGAGGAAAAAAGGTATGAAAGGAAAGGTAAGTCTTGTATGGTATTTGGAAGAATAATTTTTCCTTATTTAACAACATAGCGCTCTGGCTGGCGTGGCTCAGTGGATTGAGCGCCCCCCACTGCAAACCAAAGGGTCGCAGGTTGGATGCCCAGATCAGGACACATGCCTGGGTTATGGGCCAGGTCCCCAGTAGAGGGCGCCCGAGAGGCAGCCACACTTTGATGTTTCTCTTCCTTCCCCACTGTCTAAAAATAAATAAATCTTTTTAAAAAATTAAAAAATATAGTTTAATTAGGAAAAACAATACTTCAAAGTTAGACACTGATAATTGGCTATGTCACTGTCTTGTGACTTTGGTCATTACTTAATTTCTCTGAGCTTTATTTCCTAAATTTTAAAAACAGATAATGTTAACTACCACATAGAATTGTGAGGTATCTGGCATATATTTAGAAAGAATCTTGTAAATGGTGACTATTATTATTTTCTAAAATGTTGTTTAAAGGAAATGTTTATTGTATTTTAATTCCATTGACTCTGATTCCACCCCAGTATTTATTCTTAATGGAAATATAATTGACATATAATCACCATTATACTTACTTTTGTTAATAATGTATCTAAGGATTTAAGGCAGCATCCTTCCCAGAAAAATAAAATTTCCTTGAAAACAAATTCCATAGAATTAGAAAATACCACACTGAAGTGTAAGTTCTAAGAGGCCTGTTTAAGCATGTCCTATAGGGTAGGACAGATGCAAACCCTGCTGGTCTGAAGGCCTCAGAGGAATGAGAATCATCACTGTAAAAAATTTTGGAAGTACCTATTAAATACTACATTTAGTCTGTTTTCCATACTACATTCAAAACAATGCTCTGTATCATAATGAATTATTTATATCTATCTATGTGACATACACACACACAAGGCTGGGCAAAAGTAGGTGTACAGTTTATATATATGGAAAATAATACAATGATTAATGATAATAATAAATGCTATGCTTTGTGTACTGAAAACTGTCAACCTACTTTTGCCCACCGCTGCATGTACCTCACACATGTAGATACAGACCTGCACAGTTTTTTACTCGTAATCAGTATTTAATAAATATTTATTGAACATAAATTACTAGACTTATTTTTTAATCCTCACCCAAAGATGTGTTTGTTTTAGTGAGAGAAAGAGATATAAACATTAATGGGAGAGAGAAGCATCAATCAGTTGTCTCCTGTACACACCCTGACCAGGGATTGAAACCTTTTGGTGTACAGGACAATGCTCCAACCAACCGAGCCACCTGGCTAGGGCCAGTAGAGTATTTTGTGCGTACATGTGCAGGTTTATGGATATCATGCTAGTTTTGTAAATAATACTTCCATTTGTCCAAGAAGTAACGAAAATGAAAAATCTAATGATAAATTGAACATTGGGTGGGATATTTTCCCAGTGAATGTAGAAACATATTTTCTAATAATCTTTATATGTGTTTTTAATTTGACTGCATTTGTGGGCTTCATTTATAACAAACATTTACTAGTGGCTGCTAAGAGTACACATTGGTACCTAATTTATATTGAGGTCCCTTAAGGAAATACAGTATCATTTGTAGGTTGGCATGGGAAATGATTCGCTTAGTATGTAATTCCATTTTGATCACTTGCACTTCATTTACACAAGATTAATTGTTCCACTTACTATTATCACAAATTAATCCTCAATATTGCAAGGAGGAAAACGTTAACAGTAATCTTGGGGCCTGCTTTCTAAGTTTTTTCTTCAAGTAAGATCATGGCATAATCGGAGTCTAAACTTTCACAAGAACTGTCCCTTTTTAGAAAAAGTCAAGAAAGTACTTGACTCTGCTCCCATCCATGCTGCTTCCGACAACTTTGCAGACGTCTCTGTGAGCTTATGGGCCTCCTCTCCATCAGAAACTTGGATGCTGACTGTTTCTCAGTAGCGTCCCCTTCTCCGCTGTGGTCTGGCCCTTTGCAGTATTTCACCGCGTTCCCCGCTCCTCCCCCCCCACACACACTCATTACAATTTCTGTTTGTAACAACTTTCTAGAAGGTTGCCCATGAATCTGACCTCATGCTTTTAGTAAGATCATAGAGTTAGGAGTCATCTATTGAGAACCTTTACTTTCAGAAATACTGATCAGTGAATTCTTTGTACTAAACACTGAAAAATAGTTAATGCAAGTAGTCCCCACCCCAAGGCTCTCACAGTCTAGTAAAGAAAATGGCTAAGACAATCAATTGCAATACATTGCAGTTACTGCTATAAGGAAGTATATCAGGACACCATTGGACTGATGGTTTGGAGGAGGAATCATAGGAGGACAAGAGACCTGTCATCCAGAGATAGTAAGGGGGCTAATGTAGTATTTCACAGGAGAAAAGAGGAGTGTCTAGACCATGAGAGCAATTTCAAGAGCTATCTGGACTGCCTATGGAAGTCTTACTCTCACGGAAGAATCCTCTGTGTGAGTCTTGTGACAGCCCCGACCAGGAGCTGGTAAAGGTCAAACTGAAGGAGCTAACAGACGTAAATCAAAAGTATTCTTTTTCTCTAAATGAACAAAATAAAAGTTAAAAAAAAATAAGCCAGCCACATTGTACATGCAAAATAAAAAGTAATCTTTTTGATTTTACTCGTTTGATCTTACTTGTCAAAAACTTGGGAATAATCAGACTCCCCCCCCCCCAGTTTATTTTTGCTGTGTCAATTGATCATAAAGTCTTCAGGATAAAAAAGAACTTAAAAGTTATTGAGGGGTTCTAATCCAGTGTTTAAATTCCTTTTACAACATCCCTGCTAAGTGGGGATTTAGCCCATGTTAAATAATTCCAGTGAGAACAATCCACTATTTTCTAAGAAAGATCTCAAAGATTTCCTCCAGATTAAAAAAGGGGTGGTGGACCCAACCAAACAAAAAAACCAGAAAGCTGTGTAGAGACTTGCAAGTCAAGATTCCAGATGTCACCAGATTTTCATTGACTTCACTCATACTCTCTTCTTGAAATTCATCTCTGTATTATGATGCATAATTTATATGTGGAACTGACTTTATGTGAAAGTAATAACAGGAACTATTCTCTAAGGAATGTCATTTTGGGGGTCAAGAAGCAAAGTTTCTCCTCCCTCAACAACCTCCACCCCAAACTGTCATAGAGACTCAAATACTACCATTAGCATTTCTGAAGAAATGGCACATTAAGCTAAGTCACACTAGGGTGTTAATGACTTATCAGATAGATTTCATCCTGACATTGCAACCCTGGGAAGTATAGAACCACTAGCAAAGAAAAGAGCACTAAAGGTGGAGAAGAGAAAAGCAACACTAAGGCAAGATGAGCCAGAGGTACCCAGTGGTCCAAGGCAGAAATGTTTGCATAAAGAAGATCTAGAGGTTTTTTCAAAATATTGTTTTTAGAACTCTTTGTATTATGTTTGTTTCAATATATCTGAAATAGGTTCTGGAGCAGTTCTGACATACAGCTAAATTTAGAAACAGGTATGAAGCCACATTTTTATATATATATATATATATATATATATTTAAAGATTTTATTTATTTATTTTTAGAGAGAGGGGAGGGGAGGGAGAGAAACATGGATGTGTGTGAGAGATACATTAATCAGTTGCCCCTCGCACGCCCCCAACTGGGGACCTGGCCTGCAACCCAGGCCTGTGCGCTGACTGGGAATGTAACCCATGACCTTTCAGTTCACAGGCCCATGCTCAGTCCTCTCAGCCACACCAGTCAGGGCTGAAGCCACATTTTAAAAAAGCAAAAACAGAATGACCCCCATCTCATGAGAATACACAAAGTCAACATCCCCATTCTCCCTAGGGCTGTGTTGATTTGTTCATACAAAGCTGTTGCTCTAAATTCTCTTAAGGTGGAGGCTATGGAGAGACTCAGTGGCACATTAGGTGTCTGGTGAAATGTGTCACTGACTTTTTAAAGATTTCATTTATTTATTTATTCTTAGAGGGGAAGGGAGGAAGAAATAGAGGGAAGGTAACATTGACGTGTGAGAGAAACATAGTTGCCTCTCACACATGCCCCAACCAAATGGGGACTGGGCTGCAACCCAGGCACGTGCCCTGACAGAGAGTCGAACTGGCAACCTTTTACTTCACAGGATGACACCAAACCCACGGGGCCACACTGGTCAGGGCTGTGTCACTGACTTACCAAAATTTTCTGAAATTACCTCAACAGTAGGCCTTCGATGAGTAGAGCTGCGTTGATGAGTACAAAATGATACCTAACAACACTTTGCCTTTAAAACTTCTTTTGGCAGTTCCAATATTTGTGTCTCTTAGGATGAGAATTTAATGAATTTGTAACATTCAGACTGGTTTTCATAATAGGTTTGTGAAGTAAGTGGCAAGTTTTGGCTCTGATTTTTCTTTAGAAAATGGACAAGGAGGTAAAAATGCCTTATTATAGTAGCACAGTGACAAAAGTGTTCTCACATTGTAGTTGGAACACTCAGATCAAAGATAGAAAACCAATAATTAACATTTATTTTTTTAAAGATTTTATTTATTTATTTATTTATTTATTTATTTATTTATTTATAGATGAGTATTACTATTAATAGAACACAAGTTTGAGGAATTTCCCCAAGGTTTATAAGAGTAGTCTAAGTTTATTTTTTTTAATGCAGCTGTGAAGCAGAACCTTTTACATTGTTTTCTGTGTTCTAAGTAATTCTACTAAACTCAGCATATTAATTCAGAAATTTTAATAATTTTTGCAAAGACTCATCTACTTACTCCTGGGCACATGCAGTAAAAGTTTCCTAGTGGATCATTAGGGATAATAATGAAAACCACTTCCATTTCACTCCCTTAATTCCCAGCCCCATGATCCCTGCTCTAGGAGGAAGAGAACCATCTACTAATACATTCCGTTCTGGGTTAGAGTGTGTACTGCACCCTGGAGGACGTTGCTTCAGCCGCACGGAGTATGTAATATGCCTCTTAGCTGGTGCCACAAATGAATCTTCAAACAGCCATTCCACCGTGGTCAGTGCAGTGGCTTTGGGAGGAGGAGGAACAAGGTAAGACTGGTGATTTGATGAGCTCCATTTCATTGCCTCACTTCATTTCTACACAGAGACTTCCTTTGGGAGAAGTGGTGCTATGTGGATTACCATGACAGTACATGAGCCTTTCTGTAAATCCATAGATGGTGGTTTTGGCATAAGCTTTATGTGCAGGGAAAGAAAACATATGGAGAAAGGGTCTGTTTCAGCGAGAACAAAGTGCTGCTGCTCCCATGAAGGAACTGGTTCACCACAACAGGAGTCCCCAGGGTAGGTCTGCCTCAGGGAATGACTCTGTACAGGAGGCTCCATTTTGGTTTGCCCTGGCAACAAAAGCACAGTTGGAGCAGTGGCTGTAATTAATTGCAATCAGTTATCTGATTGAATTTATAATAGTCTGTCATTCTCCAAGATCCATCTGTCTTCTACAGGCCAAGTTAGGCATCTGAACGGGGATGTGGCAGGTATCAGCAGCCCTGCATCTTTCAAGTCCTGGATGGTGCACAAATTGCTGCACGCTCTCCAGGAATACAATTTACTATATTCATAGATAAAGGTAGTTCTAGTGGCTGCCAGTCGGCCTTTTCTACTATAATAGTGAATCCCAGAAAAGTATTATGAATCATATTATTGTCATCTCATTTCTACCAGATCCAAACTAGCCAATGATTCCAAAGCATCACTCAAATTCTGTTAGGTTAGTCAGTCTAGCTTTTCAACCTAAACTATACATTTCTTTAGCTGCAGTTCTCTGAATCGGAATTAAAATGTTTACTCTATTTTCTTATTGGTATTAAATTGTACATTCATTATTAAGATTATAAAGTATTATCTTAATCCAGAAATCGATTTTAGTATCACTATTAGTGGGGTGATGAGATATAACATGTTTGCTAACGTGATACAACATTACTGGTATTCTAGCAAAAAGTGTTTAACTTGAATCTGTTACCCTTTTTATTGAACTTCCAGTTTACAGGAAATAGAATGGTACAGCAATGAGCTAAATGACTTCACGAGGAAGCCATTGAACAGATTCAGAATGTGGGGCATTCTATGGGACAGTTGATCACTTTAGCAGGTCAGGGTCATGGAAAACAAAAAAGGGTGTGGCGGTTCCAGATCCAAAGAGTGTGTCAAACACCATTTCTGCTGTCTTTCAAAATGGCCTTTGGCCACCTGTTCTGGCCCAGAACAACAACTGTAGAAAGCAGCTCTGTATGACCCCAGCTTCAGAACCCCCTCACGTAGGCAGCACCCTGTACCACTTGGCCTTTGCTGGCATTTCTCAACTCTTGCCTCCTACCCAGAGTTTTCCTCTGATGATGAGGCATGACAGGCTTTGGCCTGCTGAGTGCCCAGAAATAAGGGGAGATGTGCCCCATTGTAATCATGCAAACTGGTGCTTGGCCACTTGGCACGTTGGTTTTATATAACTTAGCAATTAGTGTTGAAGGAAACAGTTTTTGTTAACAGGGTTCCAACCTTGGGAGGACTGAGAGCACTCTTACTTAGAGCCCTTTTCTTCCATGAGCCTCAGAACTTCCCTTGTTTTCCAAAAGGCTACAAGCTAAAACCATGCCCAGAACTTCTCCGTATTCTCATTTGTCCATTAACCAGTCATACAGACTTCCATTCCTTCTGGAATGTGCACTCGTGGGTTTCAGAGTCGCCATTCTTTCACAGCAGCTCTCTTCTTCAGGATTTGGGGAGTGCTGTTCTCAGCCTGCATGTAGCTTTCTGAAGCCAGAAAAGCTGGCATTAGTGCTGCCTGCCACTTCGAGGCACAATAGGCAGAGACAGGGAATGAATTTTCACGGGTGCTTTATGCAGATGGTTGGTGATCTGTGAAGACGGCGGGTTTGTACCCCAACATACCATCATCTTAAATCCCATTTTAAACCAACTCTTTTTACAAGGAGAAGAAAAGTGTAGGTAAGGGGTTTGGAATTCGGGCAAAAAGTTAATCAGATAAAAGCTGCGTCATTCTTCCATCTTTACAGACAAGGGGCTTGGGATTCGGGGAAAATGGTAATCAGATAAAAGGTAAAAGCATTCTTTCCTCTGTGCAGGTAAGAGGCTTGGGAATCATGGAAAAAGTTAATCAGAGAACAGCTGCAGCGTTCTTTCACCTGTGCCTTGGGCACTGAGTGTCTCATCCTGGAGCACAGTGGCTCAGATACCATCTTGATTGTTTGCAGTCCTCCTGAGGCACAAAGGTGGAACTGCTTATGGTCTCCTGGAGTCCGAGTGAGTCATACCTTCAGATCCTAAAACAAGAGCTTTTTACACACCTTGATTACTAAGCTTATGAGCTATTATCTGAAACTAAAGTTTTTCTAACATTTGAGTCTCCCATTATTTCAGGAAACCATGTGCCGTGTTAACACTGTCCCAGGGGGTTGAGCCCAGGGAGGCACAGGTCCCTGCATGGGACCCTGCCTCCAGGAGTGGGCTCCCATCCTCCGTCAGGCCTAAGCCTCTAGTGGGCCCTGCACCTCCTGGTCCATTTGGGGAGCAGAGCAGAAGCCCAGAACATCCAAATGCCAGAAACACACAGGGAAGAGAGCTTGTACCAAGTTCTAAAGTCCTGCACCAAGAGGCCCCATACTAAGAAAGTGACTGCTCCATATGTCCTTCAGAGGCAAAAGTCTGCAACTCAGCATTCCCAGGCCCAGTCCAGCTCTAAACACCTCTCCCAAGTCTGGGTAGCCTGGCCTGGCCGGTCCCCTGGCTTCATCCACTCTGTTGCTGTCTTCCCCAGGCAGACCCCCTCCGCCCCTCCTCGTGGCTCCCTCTCTGTGTAACTTGGGTCAGACCCCCTCACAAGTAGACCCACAGACAGAGGTACAGGCAGACCTTCTGACCTCTCCGGGCCTTGGCCTTGTGTCTTCCCTACTGACCTTTGGCCTGCCCTAATTTAAATGCTTGGCTCAGAACTTCCTATGTGACCTCATATCCTGCTCTTCCTATGGTGCGTTAGTGTCTGCAATTTTTGTCAACTCCCCAATGTGTTTGACTGTCTTTGGGCTGCTGTCTTTAGTCAGGGCAAGAGTTCCCAGTGACACCCAGGCATCAGGGAAGGCTTCCACCCACCCCGGCTATGTTATAAGTCACTGCAGGTTTTCACAGTCACGTAGACAATTAGCCCAGGGCAGCAGCTGTCTTCTCTTCAGAAACACAGGGCCTTTGCCTTTGTTCTGCAGTGTGTCATCAATGCTGTACTGCCCTGCTCTTTGGGAACCCTGCCCCCAGCCCCCAATCCTGCCTGAAGACAGGACTGTGGGAGTTCCCGTGTATCAGGGGACCCATGCTCTGCACCCCATTACACTGTGCGGCAAGATCTTTGGACAAAGGACACAGTAACTGGCAGATAAATCTTCCTGGTTCCCCTGTGGACTTTCCTGAAACACATTTGTTTGTCCAGCCTCCCAGAAGATGGTCCCACAGGAATAAGCAATCAGACATTTTTTCATGATCAGTCATTTAAAATTTTTTTAATTTATTGATTTCCTAGAGAGAAGGGGGAAGGGGGGAAGAGAGAGAAAGAGAAACATCAATCTGTTGTCCCACTTATTTCTGCATCCATTGGTTGATTGCTGTGTGTACCCTGACCGGGGATGGAACCTGCGACCTTGGCATATCACCAACTGCTCTAACCTGGCTCTAACCTTGTTCTGACCAACTGAGCTACCTGACCAGGGTACAATTATTCATTCTTGATAACACTGGTAGCCATTTGGTGAGGCACGCTCAAATTCCACCTCCCAGTTCCCCTGCCACACTTCCCCGTTGCCTCACTCCTGCTGCCCTAGGATTGCGTGCTCTCATGAATTAGCAGCATATAGGCTTTTGCTTCAGGTTCTGCTTCCTCACTTGGACAAAGAGACTTAAGGAACATTATACCAGATGCAATATGTGGCCCCGGTTTACACATACCAGCTTTAAGAACATTTTGGGAGATAACTGGAAAATTTTTTATGTAGATTGGATTTTAGATGATACTAAATTGTGAGTTTTTAGATGGGATCCTGTTATTTTGACAAGAAATATTAGAGATGTATACTGAAATACTTAGCAGTAGAATGATATACTGTAGTTCATTTCTAAATACCTCAGCATTGAAAAAGAGCGAGTGAAGAGGAAAAAGAATTATAAGATCTTTTTGTGTGGCTTTGCAAAACTAAGCCAGTGATGTTAATCACAGTCCAATTTTAATTTTAAAAAAAGGAGGCCCGCCCTGGCAGGTGTGGCTCAGTGGTTGGAGTGTTGTCCCATAAACTGAAAGGGTCACCGGGTCGATTTTGGTCAGGACACATGCCTAGGTTGTGGGTTCAGTCCTGGGTTGGGGTCCATGTGAGAAGCAACCAATCAATGTTTCTCAAATCAGTGCTTCTCTCTGTCCCTTTCCCTCTCTCTAAAGTTAATGGGCATGTTCTTGGGTGGGGATTAAAAGGAAAAAAACAAGGTGGTCCAATAACCGATTTCAAAAAAGTAAGATAAATTCATGCGAATTTTTACATATTTTACAGCTTTTCAATCATGGATTATAAGTCACAAATTTAAGAAAATTTAAAAAATACAAGAAAGCTTTATGATTTTCATATATATATACATACATATCTATATCTATATTTGTTTAAATATAACATCTGGAGCACAGATAAAGTTATATCCAAGGTTACATCACAAATTAATGGGGAGGTAGTAATCAAGTAAGAATTATTTAGACTTTCATAGAACCACACAATTCCTTCTTTCCAACATTATCAATATCAAAACCGCAAACAAATCCTAGGAAGAGAATGCAACTAATCTAAACAACTGCTTATCTTCTCAATTTTCATTGTTATACAGCTTTACTGCCAGTTGTTAAGGTTATAATTTTATCAACATAAAATTATTTTGTACCTTATAGATATTTCAACAGAAAGTGAGTTTAGACATTACAAAATGAAGAGCACGTTAGTTTTGTTCCTTTTTGGAGAAACTAATGTAAGCCAGTAGGCTGGGATAAAGTTTCATTGTTGTCCAAACCATGCCTGATTAGTGGCTAGTTGCCTCATCTGTATTTTTATGAGAATGAAAGCGATAACCCGTTCAGAGTTCACAGGAACAAAGACTTCAGCAGTCTGCCTGGAGCTTATAGAACAATGGGCATTTTTTCTTATTATACTGTGTTTTTCACTTCCTTATTTTTCCCCCAAATAAACATGTTGTTTATCTTTTGTATATACAGAGACATGAAAATATAACCACAAACACTCTCTCTTGGATTCAGTAATAAGACTATTTTTCTAAGACTTCAGTAGCTTGCCTTGGAAGTGAAGTTAGGTTGCTCTCTCTGGCCAACAGATAATACTTCAGAGATGGAACTGTTTCTTTTTCCTCTTAATGTTACTACAGGCATCTTTTTAGACTTGGAAACTTTTAGAATTCTACCAAAACTAGAAGAAAAATTGGAGAAATTTTTTAAAGCACTACCTTAAACCTCAGCCATAAAGAAAAAAGTGAGCACTTCTATGTATTATAATGGCAACTACTATTTATTGTGCACTTATCCTCATAAAACTCTACAAATACTTATTTTTGAGGGGAAGGAAGAGAGAAAGACGGAGAGAAACATCCATTGGTTGCCTCTTGCATTCCCCCAACCAGGGACCTGACTCGTGACCCAGGCATGTGCTCTGACCAGGCAGTCTAACCAGTGACCTTTTGGTTCACAGGCCAGTGCTCAATCCACACCAGCCAGGGGTACATATTAAATATGAATCTTATTTTTGAAGTTGGAAAGTGGGATGCAGTGAAGTTAAGTGACATGATCCAAGTCCCACAGCCAGTGGAGTAGAGCAAATACTAAGGCAGAGTTCTCCCTCCAAAGCTTAGTCTCTTCACACTACACCATGTGTTACACATCTTAACACATGGAATCATGGTTTTCCTTCTCTTCCCATAAATGGCCCTGGTATTACATGACATAATATTATTTTTAAAAAGGATCTAAGGAAGAGGATAATATAAATAGTAAAAATTAAAATATTTCCAAGCAGTTTTAAACTTTGTTTTTACAAGCATTTTGAATTTCATAAATACTTTAGTAGTGTTTACCACATCCATATTTTTCATTCTTCAGGGTAAATCGAAGAGAATAGTAATCACAATTATTGTGAAACTTAATTTTAATGAGAGTAATACCTATGAAAATGGTCTGAAAATCTGCAGCTCCCTGCATGGAGATTAGCAATGATCATTTATTAACCTTTAAAACTTTGTAATATAAAAAAGTTAAAACATGCAAAAGCTTCAACAGTTACACCTTGCAACCAATCTTGTTTCACTTTTTACATATACCCACTTCTTCCCAAATTCCTAGAAAATTTCATTATTTATAAGAATGAATATGTTTCCCAATTTAAAGAATTAGTAAGAATATCCTGATGCACATCATTGATCAATTAACCCATTTTATGAGGTAGAGTCACCCAAAGTTTTACCTCCAAGGTGGTCAGAGTCCTCTCCTGAAGTGTATTTTCTCAAAGTCTGGTGGCTTAATTTCTACAGGATGTCTTTCCTAGAGCTACAACAAGATAACCCTGATCAACTGTTTTGACCACACCTACATTTTTGGAATAGAAACAGATGATGGTTCTTTAATAATAATACTCTGCAGTTTTTGCTAGGCCACCAGCTAGACTTATCACAGCTAATTGTAACCGTTTGTCTAACTGCTGGCCAGCAGAGTATGAACGGAAGTGATTTCTGCCATTACCAGGTCTTTTCCTTAAAGAAATGACATGCTTTCAACTTGTCCTTCTGGTTGGGATACAAAAGTGATAGTGTGAGCAAGAGCAGCCAGCTCGGACCCAGAGGCAAAAACCACATGTTAAAGATGGTAAGGCCTCTTCACCAGTCCAGCAGCACCTGTCCCTGGGCTACTAGGTGGAAGAGATAAATGATTTTTTTCGTTAGCCACTGTATTTTAGCTCTCTTTGTTACAGCAAGTTTAGATTATCCCTCAACTAACTACTATATCTATAAAATAGTAAGACTGAAACCAAATAATTAGGGTTTTTTTGTTTGCTTTTTTCCTATTAGCACCTTCTGTTTACATAAGAAGAATCATAATCTCTCAGCTGTTTGAGAATAGAGATTGTGCCTTATCATTTTGTATCCCTAGAGATATAAAAAATAGCTTAATAAATAAATACAAGGAGCTTCAGACCTCCCTCAAATTTCCCTGCCAACATCTTGCTCAGTAATAATGTGGACAAACCCCATGGGTACAGTCAGAGATGGCAGCAACAGCTTCCCTGAGACCATGCGGCAAAAACAGCACTGAACCAGGGAAAATGCCTGCCCCAGCTCTGCCGCTGTTGCTTGGCCACTGATATGTAAGCAGTGAAGAAATCACCGTCACCTGACAAACAAATGTGAACGTCTGCTCAGTTCCACTGCCTGACCTCGCCTGGGTCTGTGTCGACTCACTGCTATGAGCTGGCATATTTAGAAAGTGAAATTTTCTACTTGAAATTTGGTTTCATTTGCTTAGACCCAAATAAAAGGCAGCATTTGAGTTGCAGTAATGTTCTGTAACCTACCAATACAATATGTGATTTTTGTGAAAGTAGTCTTGATATTAACTAACAGTAACGTCATTCTATTTTATAAAAAGCAAACTGGAGGCCCTGGCTGGCATAGCTCAGTGGATTGAGTGTGGGCCTGCGAACCACACAATCGTGGTTTGATTCCCAGTCAGGGCACATGCCTGGGTTGCAGGCCAGTTCCCGGCAGGGGACTCACGAGAGGCAACCACACATTGATGTTTCTCTCTTTCCTTTCCTCTCTAAAGATAAGTAAATAAAATCTAAAACAAAAAAGCAAAGTGGTATTTTTTTCGTACAGCTAAATAGGAACTTAAAGACAGTTTTATATTTAATATTAGTTGTGGGCCTGATTTTTCATTGACTTACTGGGATGTTTTAGGAAAGTAAAATTGATACCAAGTTTTAGGAGGGTTATTTCTAAGTAGATAGAACTTAGTTAATTATTGCTTGACAATTACTGGTCAATTTTTTTAAAAAGTGTAACTCAGGCAGTGAGTACATATTATAAATTATTATCTCTTAACATATTTAAGAGTAAATAATATGTTTTCCCCTTTTGGTGTACCCTTTGCTAAGAAGGCTTGTTTACTTTCGTCAGAAAACAGAAATCAATTCAGTTTTTGTTTTTCTTGTATTTAATATCTACATTCGAAAAAGTGTATTGGATAATTTTTTTCATCCTCACCCGAGGATATGTTTGTTTGTTTTTTATTAGAGAGAGAGAGAGAGAGAGAGTTGGCTGTCTCCCACTCATGCCCCAGCTGAGAATCAAACCCCCAAACTTTTGGAGTACAGGACGACGCTCCAACCAAATGAGCCACCCATCCAGGGCTGGATAACCTTTTTTTAAAGCTAGAAATTATAAACCATGTATTTTGTTTAGAGCAATTATACTAACTCATCCTTTCTGGGTTAGATCATGACAGTAAAATGGTTTTAGCAGAACTAAACCACATCTAAGATACAATGCTTTTTTAGATAATCAGGGAAATAATTAGTAAGGCATCTTTGATGAATTTCCTGTAGTTCCTCAAAATTTAAAATATCTGTCGTGCCACTGAAATGATCTTTAAAGGTGAGAAGCCATTTATCATTATTTCGTAATAAGCTGACTATACAGCCATAGCTTCTAATGCAATCCTAAAAAATGGGCTAATATAGTGTATTGCAAGATTTTGTTTTAAATTAATCTCAAAACCGAATAAACGGTTATCCTGTGAAACGGATAAGTAAGGAGTATCGCTCTGTGGTCCATATGCCGGAGGCGGGGTTGGAGGCAGAGCTCCCCACCAGTGGGTTCCTCCGCCCACAGCTTCTGCCGACCCCACAGCAGCGTTTCTGAAAGTCTCTTCCGCAGATTCCCACCCGTCAGTACCAAACCCACTGAGTCAGCACTGCTGTTTTCCCCGGCCACAGGTTGAGAAGATACTATATATATATATATATATATATATATATATATATATATATATAAAATATGATAGAGTACTGGGGCTAATGAATAACAGCAGTTTGCTGAAAATTTTCCTATCCCACTTCCATCGTCTGTTGAGAAAATTTAGTTTGAATGCCAACCAGACATCCTTTGTTACCTGTACTTATGTTTTCAGCAAAAAAGCAACAATCCAGCCATTTATCCATAAAAGATAAAAGAAAATGCTCTATTTTATAGCATAGGAAAGTGGATTTAAAATTGACTCTCAGCCTTGATGGTATGAAGAAATGGCTAAATTATCAACAGAGATAACTAAATTATACTTGGTGAATAGAAATTGTCCTTGGTGAATAGAGATGGTGAATATACTTGGTGAATTACAAAATAATAGTAAAGTTTATCTTATTTTAATAAAATCTATCATTAGAGCTTTTTACATTATAAAACTGATTGGTAATCATCTGCTTAAAAATTCCCCACGTTTCCCCATTGCTAATCAGGTGAGGTTCAGATTATCTGCTACAAAATGGATTTTTGTTTGGTTCCAAATGGATCTGAATAGCTTCAGTCCCTACTGATCTATTCTAAAAACTTACGCTCCAGCTGCACAGAGCTTTAAACTCTTTTCTAAACATAACACATCAGAAAATGCTGAAAAGAAAAAAATTGAGATCATTCTCATAATCTCACCACAGTTAACAGAGTGGTGTTTTACTGTGGAAATAGAGAAATGGAGCCACAGGCCCAAGAGGAGAGACAGCCTCT